GATTAGGGTTTTTTTGATTGCATATAATCATAGGACATGGTCTGGCAGGGAGCTAACAAGATCATCTAATCCTTTTCCACATCCACAGAAACATTTCGGTACCAGAAAATACCTATTGTATTTGATTTCCGGCTTTCTCAGAACCACTTATATTAAATAACTTCAGGGAATCTTTTCTTTATGAATTTCAAGCTGGGGCACAGAGAGACAGAAAACCAAGCAATTGCATTATCTTTTGGAATAGATATAATTTCTTTCAAATAGGGAAGAAATCTGCTCTGGCAGAGCAAGGAATAGTCAGGCACTGGCCCCTGAACTGTCTCTTCAGTTTGCCCATTCAATGGATTACTGGCACACCGACATTCATGCCTACCACATGATTTCTTTCATTACCAAGAACTGCTCTTATCAGGAAAATACTAACATTTGCTTAGCACCACTAATACAAATAGAAAAAATTCTTTGTTCACAGCCCAGCAAGACTGGTTCCATGGCTGTTGTCTCACTCGGCCAGCTGAGTGACAGCTTCCAGGATAGGGTTGAGTGTGCTGTGGGGTAGAGGCAGAGGAGAGATCTTCTTATGGCCTGCAGAGAAGCCTGAAGGGAAATGGGATTTGCTTCTTGAAATCCAAAAAAAGGGAAAAAAGACCCAACAAGCAAACAAACCCGATTATATGTAGATTCATCATTGTCCAAATAGCTAATAATTTGATAACATGCCTGCATAATTTTTGGATGAATTGAATGCTACTTGGTGTTGTTCCTAGGGGAATTTTATCAGTGAAAACATTCTTTCCTGTGTGAGAATTGAGACATCTCTAGGACAGTGATTGCTGAAGAGAAGAAAACCAATAGAAACCAACTGACAGCCAAATACAGCATTAATTCATGTCTCCAGAGAGGTAACAAAACATATGTTTTGGTAGCATCACGTGGTGAGCAGTGAGAGGAAACCTTAAGATCTCTCTGGATTATCTGAGATCTTTCTCCTCTATTAAAACATAACCTTTATTTTGCCCACTGAGAAATCCTTTTGGCGTTTCACAACATCTCTGAGTACCTTGCCCCAAGGCTTTGTAAAACTCCTCCTTCCAGCTGGCTTTGAAATTGTACAAATTCTGCACAGTGTCTTGAGTAATGGAAATAACTTGTTCGTCCATTTGCACTTACTGCAGATCAGAGGAGGCTCCCCAGTCAGGACTCTGGGCAGAGTTTTCCTATGCAAATTCCAGTAAAGTGAACATCTTTTGTGCTAAATATTCCCACACGGTACACACATTATTCCCCTGTCAAAAACAGTTTGTGCTGAAGTGCCTGGTTGTTGTAAACAGGGGACAAGGAAAATTACTTCAGAGGAGGACACACAGACACAGACACACAGACACACACAGACACACAGACACACACACGCATGTATTTCTGCTTGAAGCCGTAGGCAAACCAGCAGTTTAAATCTGTCTTTGGAGACTGTAGGCCAAAGAGAGCTAAATAGGACATGAAACTCAAGACATTATCCAACAGATGGGGTTTAATTTTGCTACATCTGTTGGCAGATATATGGAATATGAGAATAGAGGATGGCTGATAACTGCCCAGGAGGGGCAAAGCCACAGGCAGTGAAAGCTGAATGTCACGGACGTGATGCCCAAGGCAGGTGTCTCTAGGCATAAAGTGAACTCTTTCAGTCTGTCAGCTCAATAGCATTTGTTTCTGTATGTGAAAAAGGTATTTCCTCTAGAGATGCTGCAGTCATCAAGCATGGTACATTCTGCAGGTATAGGGAGCTGGGAAATGAAAAATTACTTTGGCAAATTAGCAGAGGGTTAAAAAGTGAAAGTCAGCATTTTCAGGATTGCACACAGATTTAGGAGGGCTCAGTTTTTGCATGCTCAGCCTGAAACAAATAATGGCTCCAATGCTAAAGGGCTACGCCTGGCCCCCCACCCCTCTTAGAAGTTCCAGCTTTTCAGAGTTTTCAGACCTCATAAAATCCACACATTAGCTCTTTTGTGTGTGGTTAATGCCTACAGATTAAGTGCCACTACCATTACTAGCTTCTGGAAAATGTCCCTTCCTGTTTCCACCTTTATCCTTTACATTTAACACCTCCATCCAGCTAGCAAGATGGGGTGGTGCAAGTGAGAACTGTGCTCTCAAACTCTCTTCTATTCTCATTCAGCTCTTTGTTGGTTTGGGTTTGTGGGTTTTTTTTCAAGTTAACAATAAGCACTTATATTTAGGACTGTATTCAAAAAGGAATTTCAAAAGGTGGCAACAATGGATTTTTCATTTTTGAAGCGCCATATTCATGGACTTTTTAATAAGGTCTTTCTGAGCATATCCTGGTTAGTCTGTTGCTAACTTTTTCCTAATTTATTCATAGTTTATGTGCATAATCATTTTAAAAAGAAGTTATACAAAGACCTTTCACCTTGCTCAGGAAGTGAGAAAGCAGCTTTGCACCTGCAGTTTTTTCACTGTACCTCTGCACAGTGCCTGGTGTCTCCTCAGTCAAATCCTTCCTCAAGAGAAGCATAGGCATTTCCTATTACCCGCTGCTTCTGCCATTCACAGATAAGAGGAAAAGGCCCAGCTCATGCTTAATTTGTGCTAGAAATCACTTCAGTAAACTGAGGGCTGTTTAGAAGGCACAGCCATGGAATGGTGGATATCCATCTCAGCTCTGGCCCAACCAATTCAGCCCCAGACATGGCTATGACAGTACAGTAAATTCAGAAGACCAATATAGTTGCCATCCTGTCCAGCAAAGGCTCACATTTTTCATGACTTTACCATGAACTCAACTTTGTTACTTCTCCCCAAAATGACATTTAGTTTGGAGCTAAGCATAAATTCATAGTGTCAACATAACTATTTTTAATATTTTTTCCTGGTCCTTTATTTAAACATAGCTACATCATACTGACAAATGTCTACCAGATTTCCTCCTGCTTTTGTACACAAGCATGTGATCATCCTTTTACAGAATTGCAGAATCAATTAGGTTGGAAAAGACCTCTGAGATCATCAACCTGTGACCCAACACCACCCTGTCAACAAGACCATGGCAGCAAGTGCCACATCTGATCTTTCCTTAAACACCTCCAGGGATGGTGAATCCACCACCACCGTGGGAAGTCCATTCGGATGTCTAATCACCTTTTCTGTGAAGAAATTCCTCCTAATATCCAACCTAAACCTCCCCTGGTGTAGCTTAATTCTGTAGCTAGCTGCCTGGGAGAAGAGGCCAACCCTACCTGGCTAGAACCTCCTTTCAGGCAGTTGTAGAGAGCAATAAGGTCACTCCTGATCCTCCTTTTCTCAACAAACAGTGAAATTTTTGTTATATAGTTCTTTCTTCTTCATGCTGTTCTTCCACAGCTTCCTATATCTGTGAAATACAAATAGTATTGCGTATAGGCTTTCTCAGGCCAAGGAGAGATAGGGAATGGAAGAAGATTAATTAACTGGAACTCAGTCAAAATTTAAGACTAGAATTATATTGTTTAAATATTCAGTTTATTTCAGAGGCAGAGAATAGCAACTGTAATTTTAGTAAGGCTAGATAACATGAAGAGAAACACAGAAAGTATCAGTGGTCTTTCCCAGCATAAATGGCTCTTGCTTGTAAGCTATGAAAATCTACATGATATAATCATAGAAGTAATTATAAGTTTACTGTCTAAGGGCCACTAAAATGAATTAGAGCGTTTTTTAAGTTTTCCTGACTCCTGAAGCTGACACTGAAACTCTTGTGTCACATTGCTTGTTCAGTTAAGTTTCCCAGTGAAGTCAGGAGGTGGGGAGGCATTTACAGCATGAAGGAATACATGACCAGCTCTTCAGGACATATCAATTTTGATGTGAACTGAGAAAAATACCCATGCTGCGAATATAACTATTAACCTTGATGCTATGGTACTGACAGTTGTATCATTTAGGCAGTTGTATCATTTAGGCACTAGGCAGAAGATGGAGTGGCCATAGCTCTGGGAAACTGGAGAAGGTGATGAGAGGTAGCAGAGAGTTAGATCACTGTGCTCAGGTACTGCTGCATCCCAGACGCCCCTTCACTGTGACCTCTGTGCACGGCCTGGTCCCTGCTTGGACCTCGTAGGGCATCACGGGCACGTCCTTGTGTTTATGGGATGCAGTTGTAATGGACCCATGTCCCAGAGGCTGCTTGTGTGTGAGCTTAAAATGGGAAACCAGAAAATAAGTAGTTAATGAGATAAGGAAGAGATGCTTGGGAAGCCAAAGCTCTGGTCTACTGGAAGCCAGAATAAATGGGATTCAGTCCAATAACCTAAAAACAACTGCTCTGGAAAAAAATTCAACTAAGGGCTTTGCAGGGTCAAGGTGGACTGCTCAGGGCTTGTATGGGGATATGTGATGGTTGTATTTCCGATCATTCAGAAAATATACATTGTTGTGCTCTGCTACAAGCAGTGATGGGTTCCAATGAAATTATGGGAAGGAATGCAAGTAAATTTGGAAGGGTTCAGAAATCAGAAGTGACACAAAGGAGCTCCAGGAATTTGCAAGTAGGAGTGAAACATGATTATGTTTGCAGTGGTTGTAGTGGAAATATGTTCCTTTACACTGGGCTGGTATGAGCTGCTCTCATGTAGCCTGAGGCAATTTGGGAGGCCCACTGATGAAGCCAATGCACTTACAAAAGCGTAAATCCAGTGAAAGGGAAAAATTAGGAGCTATTATTGTGACATATATCAGGAAAGTATATTTACAGAGAATATAAACAGAGATAACTGTTGAATATAGTTGTTCTTGAAAAGGTTTTGCTTGTGCACTGTTTGCCCAAGCAATATCCTGCTTATCATAGACTGAGTGCTTATTTAATGAAATCAGTTCCTGTTTATCTGCAGTTTCTGATCTATCTGCCTTTCTATCTGTATTGTAATGGTCTGGTTTGGGATTTTCAGGCTAGTACTATGCAGTTTTTTAATCTAAGCCTGTGCCTTTCTTTATGTCATTCCCAGGCCTGTTCAGAGGTCCCTCTCAGGTCCAACATGTTGGACTCGTTGTGCAGCAGGAAGGATCGTCAGTATTTCTTACTGAAGTAATCTTTTTCTCCTAAGGTTCTGTCAAGCTAGACACTTTAAAAGGTATGTTAAACTGACAGAGTTCTCTGGGTTTTACTCTTCTTTTAATTCCTGTGTTTGACTGATCCATTTCTCTTGTCTGGTCTGTCAGCTTACTCTTTATTCTCCACTGCTCTAAACATGATGTTTTTTCCCTTGGAATTTTTCAGGTCTCTACTTTTTTTTTTTTTGTGAGCAGCATCTACACCCATGGTGACAGCACTTTTTTCCTCTCCTCTCACCAACTTCACTCTGAATAGTTGGCCTTAGTTTTTTCAATATTAAAAAAAAAAATAAAAATTCTTGGAGCGTTTTCCCCTCTGCACTGTTTCTAGATAATGCTGTAGTGTGTATCTTCCAATATGGTAGCTGGCCTTAGTCCCTTCTCTCTGTCCCCTTTACAAATGAATTCATGTACTATTGAGATTAACACAACTTGAGGCAGAACATCTATCTCTGTAGAGTGCTGTATTTCTGAATATAAAGAACAAACCCAGCAAGAAAATTATAATAATGATACAATATTGGAACTGAAATAGGATTGCTATTGGGATTCACATGGGTGATCTCCAGATTCAACTCAGCTCTCACAGGAAAGGATGTTATTGAATACAAAGGTTTTATTTTTCCCAACTCATCACATAGTCAATGTTTCACCAGGATGACAAGAGATACTATACTGCAGGGCTTCTTTCACTTGAATGTAAAACCAAATTTATGACTGCTTATGGTCACTAATGTGTCCTGGCATACTTCCAAATGTTGGATCATTAACCTTTCTGTCAGAGCTAAAATCTACTTGTATAATTAAGTTATCTTTATCTCAAATTTCCACTTGCAGTTTCACTCGGGAAAAAAAAAACAACCCAAAAAACAAACAAACTCCTATTCTTTCCTTCCTTTCCTTCAGAAAAGAAAACAGCTGTGTGTAGTTGCTGTCAAACAAAGGTGACTTGGTTCTTCATTTGTCTTTTATACGTGTTTTTGTTAAATACAGTAGTGTAGTGTAGATCTAATCCTTCATCTCCGTGCTTTATTCTCTTCGATTCTAAATCACAGAATTCAGTTTAATACTTTTTATGTCCTTATTCTGCACCCATGACTATTCCAAAGACATGTCAGGCCAGAGTGGCAGCTTTCATGTCTTTTGCACTCCTGACAAAAAGTTATGGAGAGAGGGAAATACTGTGGTTTGTTGTGAGATGCTCTGGGGTTTACCTTCGAAGACAAGGTCAAAGCACCTTTTAGTCTTTGGAAAGAATAACTACAGGTTTTGGGGAAGTTCTTACTGTATGAGAAATTTTATGTGATATTTTTGGTGCCATTTTTCTTCACATTTTTCCTCTTTCTACATAGCATATTCCTCAGTAATTTAGTTTATGTCATCTGTATAATCTTCTACTAGGATTTAATGTGATACTCATACCTGGAGAGTGCACCCTACTGTGGAAACGAAAAGCTCTGAAGTGCAGGCAGGCAGCAGAAGGCACCTCACATGCAATCAGCAGTGTGTATGCTTCCAGGTTTAAATAACACTTATGATTTGGAACTTGTACCAGTGAAAGCAACGTTGTGACAGTTTGGAGTATCTGCTTACACAGGTCAGAGGTAAAATGTGCTAGGAATTTCCTAATGGCCATTGCTTTCAGCTGCTGCCAGTGTTATCATCTGAAAATCCATTTTTATTCTGGCACAAGTAACATCTGTAACAAAAATTCTAGCAGAGCAAAATCTTTCCCACTTTACCATTTCTGCAACTTCATTGCCATCAAATGCCTCAGTTCCTATCACTCTTTTCTTTCCTTGGGTATCCCTAAAGGGAAGGATATGGTGGAACTGCACAGAGACTGTGGAGGCACATCTGGACTGGCAGCTGCAGCTGTGTTAACAGTTTTGTTATGAGCGAGGACAGAATCCAGCTCAGGGACAGTCTGCCAGATTGGCATGACTAGCAAAAATAAGACACAAGCTAAGACACACTCTTGTCACTAATTCATGTCAACTTGTCTCAAAATGCATCCATTCCCACAATTCAATAGAGGCATAAACTTCAGTTACCTGCTCTGCTGTTGGGAATTTGGGCATTGGTTTGAATCAGGGACTGCTTTCTGTTTATTTTTTTGCCAGAGCAGAGAAAATGTTTCTAACTACTCCCAAAGTGTTGTTGCTGCTCATTCAGTGTGTTTTTCTTCTCTCATAGAAGAGATGATGTCCATATGGATTTGCATCAATTTTGGTATAACCATTTGTATTTGACTCCTTGCTAGAGCCCATCCCTTTCAGCTGTGCTGAGCACTAAGAACCTGTTCTTGGCAGAGACTCTGAATACAAAAAAAAGCAAAAAAAACCAAAATAGTTTTTTTCATGAACAATAACTGAGGCTGACAGCTTTATACCCTGCACGGGAAACAAAAATCAAACTGTGAAGGAGATACACTAACCAAACTTTTCATAGCTAAAAGTGTTAATGAGAAAGTTTTGTAAGTGATAGTTTTGCCTTGCTTTTTTCCTTTTAAGCTATTAGGGAAAGTATTCTGTATTTAGGACTACAATCTATCTCAATTGTATGTAAGAGAGAATTTACTATATAAATTAATGTCAATAATTGGATAATAAATAACATCACTTTTTTAGATATATATGGAACCTGCAGAGAAATACTAATTGCTTTCATGAATTGCTGTGCTCTTTTAGCAAGGAGTAACATGCACTTTGGTATAAGAAATAGCATATGAAATGTTAGCCATTGTATGTTATGCTTCATAAACTATCTCCATGGAAATGCAGAGTTCACTTTCTTCTTTGCTCAAAACCTGTTTTGGGTAGAGATTGATATTGATTTGAAATGTAAATCAAAATTTCCCCCTGAATCAGAGGACTTCATTAGTCATGCATGGCATCGTTCTTTCCAGTATGACCTCTGTTGCAAAATGATGTCTTTCTACCATTCTCACACTGAGAGAGTCAGCAATGAAGGAGAAAGGCTGGGCAGCTTTGAAAAAGGTAACCATGTGTCTTGAGTGCTTATTTCAATATTTTCTGATGCGAAAGCAAAACCACATCAGAACTAATTTCACTGCCTTCTGACAGTTTGCCTCAGTTCTTCCACAAAGTACTAGTTGTGGGAATTCATTGAACAGAAATTATACTGCTCATCCTGTCCTAAGTGGAGCTCTTACTTTCATTTTAATATGTGAGTGTTGCATGGAGTGGAACATCATTTAACATATACTATAGGATATTCTAGCCTCTGATGCCAGTGGTGCAGAGTTGAATACTAAAATCAACAGAGAATTCAGTGTACTATAACATTTTTTTCACAGCACCTCTTCCACAGAGTGAAATTGATGTCTTTGATTAGTCCAGTTTTAGCACAGAGGATGGTGCAGTTGCTTCTTTGTCTTGTCTGGAAACAATAAAAAAATGCAAAGTCTGATATTTTTAGTTAATATTTGTTGACTATAGGCACTACTCATTTCTGCAGCCCCACCGTGCACTTAAGGATTTCTATAGTGCAAGGTGAATGCATTCCATAATAGGAGTTAAATCCATTTTCCCTTCTAAGGAATACGCACAAACATCTATGTAGGCAAGCACATATTTTTATTTCCATTCTAAGAAATGTACAAATCCAGCATCAGGTTCTAACACTCTAATTAATTAATTAATTTTAATTAATTTTAATGTATAGGTACCAAACAAGCTTCAGTTGAATGTTTTTATTAAACAGAGCTTTTAAAAGATAAAATAATTCATATTCATTTAAATTAAAATGGCAATGAGCATTTTCTAGCATTCCTAAAATAACAGTTTTAAAACTTCTAGTTACAAGACAGAACTGTAAAAATTCCTAAAAAATTACCTGCTCAAATAATTTCATTATTTATAATAACAGAAAGTCTCAGTGGAGATTTCAAAGATCTCCATAATAAAGAAAAAACTAAAGAAAAAGGTTATTATATTTAGATTTTTCTTTATCTAAGTCATATAAATAAAAAAATGTAAAGCATTTTGTGAATTAGGGTTATGCAATCACATGATATGGCTTATATTTCATTTGATTTAAAAACAGATACATCAATGAAGCTAAGTTTCTATAAAGTTTTATCATTAAATTTAATGGTCCCATAAAAGTGAATGAGAAGTTACAGTTTTTTGGCCATCCCAGTAGTTAAACTAATAACAATGCGTACTTTTTCAACCATGCATACAATAGAATTCCCAGATGATTACAACAGTTCTTGGTGGTTGTTTTCCCAGTTTTTACTTTTTTTTATTTATTCTCTGAATATTTCCATTTTAACTATCCTAAATTCACCTAGCCAAATGGTAGGACTCAGAAAGACTTTTCAGGGAAGTAAATAAATCACAAAAAAGGCAAAATAAAATGTATTCAAATATCTTTTGTTCAGAGCTGCATCAGTTTTTAGCTGAAGCAATTCTTCTGGAGAAAAATGTAAACTGCAGGGTTGTGTATTCCATTAAGCTTTACTGAATTGTTCCATTAAAAGAAAAAAAAAAAAAAAAAAAAAAAAAAAAAAAAAAAAGAAAAAGTTAATATTTTACTTGGAACTTGTAGGAATATTTTTTCTTTAATTAAAATCCTTTAAGTTTTCATTAAAAAATATTTACATTTTTAATTTGCCTCTTATTTCATATATTTTTAAAAAACTGGTAGAATCAAAATGGTGTTTTTCCACTGTCCTGCTTAGTTTTTATTGAACCATTTCGTTTGATGCTCCATTCTTCATGGCCCCCTGTAAAAGACCTCAGAATCAACAATAATGCATAAAGAAATAACACTGTTCTAGTTTCAATTTGAAAATTTAAAAGCAAACTAACAAGAAATCCCCCCTTGAACGCTTTCCAATAAATATCCTATCTCTGTTTTTTAATAAGAGTGAGAAACAGAAATTATCATGTTAACATAAATTCAGGCATAGCAGAATAATCATTATGAGGTAAGAGGGGGAAAGCAGAAAATTTGAAACTAGGTCATTCAGAAATGTTAATGTGGCCTTTTA